GGACAGACGGACAGACGGACAGACGGACAGACGGACAGACAGACGGAAATGGGAGACCTATTTCTTCGTCTTCTAGGGGTCATGAAAGATCGAGAAAACGTAAAAGTAGAGAGTCGGCCGACGGACTCGATTACAATACTTCCTTTGCTTACGCTCGGGAAGTAAAAATTGATCTAAGATTATCTAGAGAGATATAAGATATATACAAATTTTATTTTTTTTTAGGAGAATCCCTATAAGTGAAAATAAAGATATGTATGTAACGTCAAGACAAAAGTACAAAAGTAAAGAAGCATGCTATGTGTAAGTTTTAAGTGAGTTTTTTTATTAAAAAATTTTATTGTAACATTTTACGAAGGACAGCTACATCAATTTGTATAAATAATATATCTAATAATATAATGAATTGTATTTCCAAATTTTCTAAAACACGGGGTGAACATTCCTCATTTCATCAGTAGAATAAATTGCATCATTCGTTTCTTTTTGTAGTTTCTAAAAAATTGTTCTAAAGTTGTTTCGACAGAACTTCCCTTGCACCTAAAGCACAATGAAACATATCAAGCATTTTCGAGTTGAGTTAGAAAATTTTGAGATGACGTAATCAGTTTTTTGGAGGAGATAAGCAAATATATTTTGATTAAAAATGTATCACGCGTTTCATAACTTTAAAACATCTGCAAGATTTCAAAGTATTCGGTTTTGCAGATTCAAAATTAAATTGCAAAATGTTGTTTTATAATTTGGATTTTTTCATAATATTTCGGGTAAAAACTCAACACGGAGTCACAAACGACATGTTTAGGACTATGTTATTGTATATAATTTAAAACCCATTTACTATGTACGATTTTGAAGTGACGCCATTACATTATTGGTGGGGATTAATGCAAAATTTGACAACAATCGGCACAGTAATTTCGGAGATTATCTGTCTAATAAAAATTGGGACGACAGACCGACGGACAGACGGACACACGGACAGACAGACGGAAACGGGGGACCTATTTCTTCGTACTCCAGGGGTCATGAACGATCGAGGAAACGGAAAAGTAGAAAGTCGGCCGACGAACCGGATTACAATACTTCCTCGGGAAGTAAAAATATTATTGTTTTGACAAAGCACAAAGCATAGACTTATAAATTTTGATTAACGATTGCCAACCTTACGATAACCTCAAAAAGTTTGCACAATTTCATAGTATTGGGTGTTGTAGTTTCAAAGTTATATTGCAAAAAGTTATTATAATTTTTTTTTCCAATAATCCGGATGTGTAGGGTAAACATTCAAGATGGATTCATAAACCACAAGTATAGGAGCATGCTATTTTAGAAAATTTAAATCGAATTTATTTTGCAAAATTTTTAGGAGACGTTATTACATTATTCTGCGGATGATTAGACAAGTTTTGGTTAACGTTTTACCATCTACATGATACTCTTAATAAACATAGACAATTTGACTACAATCGGTCTAAAAGTTTTGGAGATTATCTGTCCCATAAAAATCGACACAGACGACAGACAAACGGAAACGGGAAACCTATTTTTTGTATTCTACTTGTCATGACACGTCGAGAAAACACGTGAATAGTCATTCGTTAAGCGGACTCTATTACAATTATTTAGTCAAATAGTTTTATTGCTCTTACATAATCGAGCAAGAAACATGTAAAGTTCGCACTATAAATGAATTTTTGCTAACACATGGAGTACATATCTGCAGCTAAAACTCATTGACTAAGAAATGACAATGAGGAATCACGACAAAAGAAAATTTAGGTTTCGATTTCGGTTGTAAAAACTAGTTAGTTTCGGTTTCAGTTGTAAAAACTAGTTTCGGTAGGACACAAGATATTTACTTGACCGGAGACTGACTTGACCAGACTTTGCTTCACCTGATTTGACATGACAAGATGCAACCTGATACAACCTAATATTAGCTGACTTAGCCTGACCTGCTTTGACTTGACTTTATCTGAGGTCTCTAACCTGGCCTGACCTGACTTTAATATTTTTCATATAGACATTAAATTCAGAAAACTCAGGAATTGACCTGACCTAACCTGACATGACCTAACCTGGCATAACACAACCTGACCTGACTTAACCTGACTTCGTGAACTTACGAAGAATTTGGCTAAAATTCCACAAATATTGTGGGAAGTAGGTATATTTCGACGCACCGAAAAAAATATAGCATGTTGATGGTCCCTGATCAAGGCTGCAAATGAATATCCAAAATAGTGTGATGTAGCTTTTTTATTTAACCCGACTTCAGAAAAACTGGGTAGGGAAAAATTCTGACAGTCCAATAAATTAAGATGTAAAAAACTTTTGGAAATCAAAATCAACAAAAACATTTTTTTGTTAATTTTAAACGATGCTTGGGTAAAAGTAAAAATTTTCAAAAATTTCCAAAATTTTGAGAGATTTCGACGATCTGAATCGAAAAACATTTATGAGCATAACTTAAAACTTGTCTGACATTCACACATACAAAGATTACATAAAAATGCAACATAATATAAGTATATCTACTTCTTCAATATTATTAATTAACCTTGCAGCAAAAATTCAAAATTTTATAATTACAACATCCTATTATAATCAACCTGCTGTTATTCTCCCTATCTTCATAAGCCGGGATCACTACGACCACGCACAATTCTAACAAGTAACCTACACTATTCTGATCTAGTTCGCTTTATCATCAACACAATTACACTGTTAGAGAAACTTGCTACAGATTTATTGATTTATTCTGGTTTCAAATACACATATTACTTCATAATTTATCACCAGCTTTTAAAATACCCACAATAATTCTAGACAATTGAAGAAAAAGTAAAATAATTTAATTTCAACACCTCGTATCATCATCAAATGATTAACACCAACTGCTTCAAAAACCCCAGCGATTTCCTGTCACGACCTGAATTAAACCTTTTAACTGTAGCAATTAAAGTTTCGGTTTATCGAGGCAATACATTTTTACGTCGACAGTTAGTACCTGCCTTTATAGGGATGGCCGAGAAGGTTTATCAGCTAGTAGCGATGGCGACGCACACGTATAAGAAGCTAAACTTTATCGGGGGTTGCTGTAAAAGGCTACAAATTGACTTTGTGTTTGCTGCGTCAAAAGTGGCATTGTTGCGAGAAAATTGACTCAAGAATTTAACTTTGTCTACGTTTGATTTGATGTGTTTGCGATAAAAGTTTTTGCGCCGGGGGTCGCAATTTAGGGGTTTTTGAGATGCTTAAGGAAAAACTTAATGGAAGATTAGAGAGTGAAAAATTGGAGAGGAAGGTTTCGGGTTCTAATCGATCCGATGTTCGAATATCGGTTTACGTGACGATTTGGACTTGGGAGTTATTAGTTTTAAGCAGGAGTTCATGAGTACGTAGTGGAATAGTGCGGACTAGTCTGAGAAGACAGGAGGAATTTTTGTGAAATTATTTAGGTATGCAAAAAAGAACACATTTTTGGAATTTGAACCACTTTTATTAACGCAAAGGATCAGAATTTATAATTTTAAATTATCTTTTTTCTTGCTGACTATAAATCCTGCTGTTGACTATATTCATCTATTATAACTTCTTGACACTTTTATTGGCAGGAACAAAACTATATCATATTAGTAAAACAGCTTAACTCCAAGCCGTTCAGATCAGAATAGTGGCCACCTGTCAAACGATGCATAGATCTGTAGTCGGTAGTCAGGCTACTCTCGAAGAAGTCGGTTGTTATTCGACTATTAAAACTAACAGTAACTTAAAACAGATTGCTTCTTTCGCTCGTTGAACGAATCTCTTAAGGGACGGCATCGTTTTTATATGTAGTTGGAATACGGTTCACTTCGCTCGCTTAAAAATTTCAACTCGTTGAAAGGTTCTCCAATTTTAACATAAAAAAACTCTTATCCCTTTTCTTAACTTTGAAGAATTAAGTAGTTTTACGTAAACTTACTTTACATAAAGTTAAGTATAATTTTGAGTTAGATTCTTGACAAATAATAATGACTTGATCGTTTCAAAAAGGTTCTTGTTAAAAACAATGAACAAGTAAAGAAAAATAGAAACGAAGAAGAACAACTGGGAAATCAGAATATAAAATTAAACATTCTTTAGAAATATCCTGTGCGATAAATATCGTTCTGGACAGTAAAAGCGAATAACAGAGGCGAACATAGATTTGAAATAGAGTGGAGAAGTAAAAAAAAAATTCAATATATTTGTAACATAACTCAGGACACACAAAGGGCGTTTATAGCAAATAATCTTGACAAAAGAAGTGATCGTTTAATAGCTTCATATTTCAACGCTAGACGTTTTAATGGCTGATATTATCTCTAGGCCTTCTATCCATTGAATAATAATAATGATTTTAACTCTATCCAGAAGATTTTTCGTATAAATTTGTTTCCTATTCTATTTACACGTGACGCTATTATTTTCCCACACAAGTGCTTTAAAAGTTTTATCATACTTTCTCTCTTAAAAACCGCTTTTATTAAAACTGTCGGCTTCACGAAGTCATTTCAAAATTTAATTTAATCCTGAGTTAATTTTTATGAATGAATTTTTCCCTCGACAAAATATTTTAATATCAAAATAATCACGTTCGCTAAAATACGGAATTATTTCGTAAGAAAAGTTTAAAAAAGCATTTTAAAATTAGTACACCTGAAACATAAACAAGACATGTTTTTAAATTTAAGTAACACCTTACTTAAAAACGACGCAAAAATCCGATAATCGATATTCTGTGTTTAATAAAAACATAGTTTGATGTTAGTTCTAAAAATAAAATTGTAATTAATAAATATACATCCTTAAGCAAAAGCTCAGCTGCTTCCGCGAAAATTCCACTGAAAAATAAACAAACTACAACCAAAATTTTCATGGAAGTTTTTCATTATATATTAACAAATTTGTTTTTTTATTTAAACTTTTGTTAAAAATTGCAACAACATCAAATATTTGCCAATAATACTCACAGCATCATTTTTGCCTAAATCGTATTTTTTTCTAAACTTGAGACTGTAACATCACTTTCGGAAGAATTGCGAAACCGGCAACCAACTCGCGGAAAGTTTCAGACTCGCGCGTAATTTTCAGCGCTGCTGGTGGTGGTGGTTTTCAGCGCGTTGGTCGAAAACTGCCTGAAACGTTCAACTAGAGACTAGAGTTGCGTTGGATTTTATGTCCGTGCGCATGGTTATCATCAACTCGACTATCAATAACTGAATTTTTCTGAAAAATGCTGAAGTACGAGAGGTAATTAGATTTTCTTAATTATGCGAAGGTGGGGTTGCATCAGGCGGAATTTATGGGGGTTTAAGTTCCGTATTTTATGCTCTTGGAAAACGGGGTTGCGTCGGGGGAGGTATTGAGTGGTTTGTTTAATAAGGTGCATACCTGTGGCTTAAAGAGTGTTAGGGGAAAAGCTCATTAAGATTGGTAGTAAATATTTGTAAATGTTAAATTAAATTAATAATTTATTGCCTGCTAAAATTTTTAGTTGCTTTGTTTACTTTACACTAACTAAGTTTTCTAGATTTAATTAAATTACAAAGATAAATAAAGTTTTTAATAACACCAAATTATTACATAATTTGAAATAAATTAAATTTATCCAATATCGTTATTATATCAAAAATCCAAGCGAAACAAGTTCTACTGTAGCCAGTATCGATGTTTATGTCAATTTTAACTTTTTTAGACTTTTGTTGGCAAGACTAGTAAATACAGCTCCCTTGGCTCGCTGAAAAATATTCGGGAAAAATGCTGTTTTGGAAAAAACTTAAATGAAAATTGCTACTAAATCTTTTCATCAACTTAATTAAATGTTATTTTCCAATTTCAAAGCGACAAAAATGTTTTATACTATTTTTGTAAAAACAGCAGATACACATTTTTTCGAATGTATCAATGACTATATTTTTCGTACTAAACTAAATTATTGAGTCCTCTACATTTAATAAAACTATAATATATCGCCTATACAATCGAAAAATACGGTTTCCTCGATTGTGTTAAAATAAAAATATACGAACTGTTAAAGTACAGGTCTGTGCCTATGTAAAATCAATTTCCTAGTTCACTATGAATCCATCAACAAACCACAAATAAAGAGTCATAATATTTTGCATATTTTAGACAGGATTTATTCAGCAAAATTTTGAGATGACGTAATCAGTTTTTTTGGGAGGAGGCAAACGGATAAATTTTGATTACGGCCTCATCACGCTTAGGACGAACTCATATACTATAAGTGCAGGAGTATTTTATTTTATAAAACTTAAATAATATTTACTAAGACTGTAGATTTCGGAGATGATCTCATCCCATTGATGGTGGAGATGATTAAACAATTTTTGATTAGCGTTTTACACGATATTCTTGACATGCAAATAAAATTTGACAACAATCGAACTACTAGTACAAATTGACACAGACGACAAGCAGACAGACAGACAAACGGAAATGGAAGACATACTTTTTCGTACTCTAGTGATCATAAAACGTTGAGAAAACCTAAAAGCAAAGATTCATCGATTGGACACTATTACAATACTTATTTAGCTTACGTCCAGAAAGTAAAAATTCGTCGCATGTTATTAACCAGAAATAATCAAACAAATTAACAGAATAGCAAAAAGGTCACGACGCCTATCTGTCTGAACTAGTCTGTCATTGGTCAAAGTTCCTATAACAGCGGTTGTGGTATTCTAATAGAAACGGATACAGACAGACGGAAACGGAAGACTACTTTTTCGTACTGTAGGGCCATGAAACATCGAGAAAACATAAAAGTGGCAATTCGCCCGATGAACTCGATTACTATACTTCCTTAGCTTATGCTCGGGAAATAAAAAGAAAAAACTGGTCGAAAGTTGTTTCGACAGAATTTCCCTCGCACCGAAAGTACAATGAAACAGATTCAATCAGCATTTTCAAGTCGAGTTTTTACTTTACACAATTTTGTGGTAACGTCGGTAATTTTTGCAAGGACACGTATATGAACCTGGACTGGTGTAATGTAGTACTTGCTAAGATAAGACTGATTGTGGCAAATTCCTTACTCCCTAAGAAAATAGAGGGCGGGTGGGCGGAGCTAGTATTTGTTAAAATAAGATTGATTTTGCTAAATCACTGAACAATATTAAGATTTAAGAGTTTTGACTAGAATGAAAAGGGGTGGGTGGGTGGGGCTATTGCTTGCTTATAAAAGATTCTGTAGGAAAAAGTTAAATTTAGCCCCGTCCACCTACCCGTTCTCTTTTTTTTTTCTGTTCAGAAATAAGAAATAAATGTTACAGCAAATAAGTAGTATAACAAAAAAAAAGAGTGCTTTGACCAGGGACGCACGGTTGGAGTTTTAACTCTGCGTTGTCAATTTATATAAATTTAATACGTATACGCGGGGAAGTCAATAATGTTCTCTTAAAAAATAATAAAAACCAAAAATATGTTGCATTTGTATTTTTTGACAAAATGATGATGATTGGGTTAATTAAAGTAAATATCCATGTATTGTCAATTGTTGTTTATTATAAAATATGCTTTTTTTATTAATTTGTTATATAGAAATATCATAATTAATTATTATAATAATATTGTATAAAAAAAATTAAAGTACAATGTGTAATTTACCAACTAAAGTAACAAGTAAATATTTACAAATGCTAGAGCAGTATTTATATCTTAAAAAATCGGTCACGCTGAAAAATTTCGCAAAATTCAACTTTAAAAATTATTAATTTAACTAGTGCTCGTAATTTCATTAAATAACATTCACTATTGACGCATGATGTATAAATTAGCAAAAACTGTTTACAACAACATCCTCCTTTATTGTTTTAATTAAGGAAATATCGTACTTGGTCTGTTTCTGTTACATACACCGACACCGACACCGACACCGAGCTCGTAGCTCGTACTCGACATCCTATTCCGGCGCACGTCGTATACGTGTTCTATATTACGACAAGAAAGGAGTTAAAATTCCAAAATATATGATTCACGCTTATTTTAACAGCTTATGTTCTATTAGTTCCAATTCCCACTTTACAAAAGAACATATAATTCACCCCGCCCACCCACCGCGCTTCCATTTCAATGATTCATTTGATCTAGCCCGAATGAGAGGTGGATCTCAATTGAAGAGAGATAAAATGGTTAGAATGAGAACATCGTCGGTGGGCGAGACCAGTACCGGCTAAGATAAGATTGATTTTGGTAAATGACTTACTCTCTAAGAAAATAAAGAATGGGTGGGAAGGGCTAGTACTTGCTAAGATAAGATTGATTGTGGCAAATGAGATACCCTCTAAGAAAATAGAGCACTAGTACTTGTTAAGATAAGATTGATCTTCTGTAAATGACATATCCTTAAAAAGAAAAAAAAAGGTGGGTGGGCGGGGTTAAAACTTACTAAATAAGGCTGAACAATATTAAGAGTAGTCACTGGAACGAAGAAGGAGTGGATAGGCTTGGCTACTGCTTGCTCATAAAACTAGAAAAAAGCTTATTTTTTTATTTTTTACTTTAATGTAAAATGGAAATTCAAAAATTACAGTATTGTATTCCCAAAATTTTCTAGAAAATGGGGTGAGCCTTTCCTGATTTAATCAATAAAATAAATTGACTCATTCATTAATTTTTTGAGCCACCTGTATAAGCAAATCTAAAAAATATGAATACAGTGACAAATCACAAGTAAAAAGTCATCTTATTTTGCACATTTTGGGTAGAATTTATTCGGCAAAATTTTGAGATGAAGTCATGTATTTTTGTGGAGAATAAACAGATATATTTTAATTAACAATTTCATGTTTTCAATAACTTTAAAACCTCTACAAGATTTCAGATTATATAGGATTATATATAATTAAATAAATTGACTGATTCATTTTTTTTTTTTTGACCCACACATTTTAGACAGCAGTCGGTTTTGCAGATTCAAAATTGAATTGCAAAATGTTGTTTCATAATTTAGATTTTTTTTTCCAAAAATCTGGAAGTTTTGCGTAAAAACTCAATTCGAAGTTATAAACTACATGTGTATGACTATGTTATTTTAAAACCCACTTACTACGTACAATTTTGAAGTGACGTCATTACATTATTGGTGGGGATGATTAGACAAATTTTGTTTAGCGTTTTACTATCTACATGATATTCCTAATATAAATACAAAATTTGACAAAATTCGGTCTCGTACTTTCGGAGATTATCTGCTTAATAAAAATCCGGGACGGCAGACAGATGGACAGACGGACAGACGGACAGACGGATAGACGGATAGACGGATAGATGGTAGACGGAAACGGGAGACCTATCTCTTCGTACTGTAGGCGTCATGAAAGGTCGAGAAAACGTAAAAGTAGAGAGTCGGTCGACGGACTAGCTTATAATACAAAAATGAAAGCAACGGAATCAAGAAAGTACATCTGGAAACAGTGACTCAATATAAAGCGTACTGGTAACAATGAAGGAGGGAAATGAAAGAGGAAACAGAATAGAAACAGATCTCTACGATTTTTGAACCGAAAATGTTTGTGACTGCAAATCCAGTCTATACCTTGTAAGGGCTTTCATTCCAGCCTAAATGTGCAACGCGTCCTGAGTAGTGGCAAATTAACTGTGACGCCAAAGATGTGCGGATGTCGTTGAAAACAAAATCGTTCATTACATACAAAGTGAGAAATAGAAAATAGCCAACGGATTTGAGCCATAGGAATAACCAGCAGTAATTACTATACACTAGAGGTTGGTGTTCCAGAAGGTTTTCAACGACTATAAAGCTCGTAGACATATAATGAGTGTCAGGATTTTCTGTTCTAGACCAGGTTAAGTGCGCAACGTTTCCTGACTAATAGCCAACCGAATATGACAGACATAATAACAGGTTATGGGCGACAGACGTATATTACACATATATGCAGTGCCGAAACCAAAGAATATTTAGGTATAGGCGAACCTTGCGTTAGGCGCCCCTTCCCTACACATAAAAATGCAATTTTACAGAACAGTTTTATTTATATTTTTTCATACGTATGCAAAACAGATACTATGATAAAATATAAAACAAAGAAAAAAATTCGTGATTATACATATAGGTATATAATATGTATAAATCT